AAACTGTAGTCTAATTGTGGTATCACAGTCAAACACAAATACACAAAGCAGAGCCTCTGTCTAGTATTAAAACCAATCATTTGAATACACGGTTCAAAACCACACCGGCTCTACGGCTGACTGGCTACCTGCCGGATGAAAAGCTCTGCTGGCAGCACAAGAAAGAGTGACAGCGCTGTACACCATCGTGTCCATCTCCGTAGAGCTCTCCCAGTATCTGGGCTGATGATCTGAACATTTCTGGATGGAGTTCATTTAATTTAACACAGCTTTGATCTACACTTTCCAGCCCAGTAGGAAGGAAGGTTTGGGGGCGTGGGAGGTCTGCTCAGTCTTGTGATTTGTATCAGGACAGATAAACTGGGGGTAACATGACATCCAAGTTTGGTTGACATCCAAGGTTTGTCCCTTCTAGACAACTGTAGAAACATGGTGGTTTAACATGGCGGACCCCATGGAAGGCAGTCCGCAACTCATTCTAAGGTAATGAAAACATATAACTAGACTTTTGATTATAAGTAACAAAAACATTTATCAACATGGTGTGTGTAAAATGTTGTGAACTGTGAATTGTGCTTCTACTGTCAGTAGGCACAGGCTACCGTGAGCTGCTGCCACCAGAGGAAACTATGTGGTTTCTGTGCAAGGTTGATTAGAGGGCATTGGAAGGGTGTCATCCAGTTAATAACTGCCTTGTTTCCCCACATCTAGTCTTTTATATGCTTGTTACTGACTACTGACAGTTTTAGGGAGGCACAGCAGGTGAGTGAATATTCTCACTTTTAGTTAAATTTCTGAAACTGATGACAGATCTCTAGAATAAATGCTTTGGTGCACAAAAAGCTAAAAGGGATTCATGTTGCAAAAGAACCTTTCTTATAACACTGTGCAAACGGTGCACACGGTTAGTATTCATATTCATTTCAGCCGCCTCCATGTTAGTAGGCAGCGCTGAGAAGACTGAGGGTGATGGTGCTCATAAAAGCTGTAATGGCAGAAAGCCCATTACTTAGTTGAATTGGAGGAGTAACTGCAGGCAAAACAATGGAGACGGAAAAGAGCGGGTTTACGAACAGAATACCTAAACCATTAAAAGCGGTCAGAGGGGGGTCACAAGCTTTTCTTTCTTCATGTGACTCAAATGCAAGTCGGAGCTACAGCAGTGAAATCATCTATTCTGCATTTGAAAATGTGAGAAAAGATTAGAAGCCTTGTTTAGTTGCTGCAACTTGTTTGTTTAAACAGACCAAAACAATCGATTAATCTGAAGTTACACCTATCTTGGAGGTTTTATTTAAGGCTGTATTTAGTGTGGGAGTAACTCTAATCCTCTTTCAGGAAATCGGTTTAGTTAAGTCAAGACAAGGCAAAAGCCGGACAGACATGTCTGAGAGAGCTAATGTGAGACAATCTGGTTTAAAAGTACAATTTAGTTGAAAACTACGTTTAAGTCCAGTTCTGTGAGGGCAAAGGTCACAGTGTTTGAGGGAGTTTTTGTGTGTTCTGTTGACCACATACAGTGTTTGTAGTCTTTATACCTGAGAAAATGTTGTAACTTATAATATATTCTATGACACCAGCTATGAATTTATATATCAAAGACTCCATATCATCCCATTCCCCTCATCCCATTTGCACCAAAGGCCGAGGTGCACAAGCACATCCATTCATCCCGTCCACTGAGGAGAAACATAATGCAATGCACAATTCCACCAATTCATGCAAAGCTGGCAGCCTCTGCTGAAGTGAGCTGAGCCATTTCCTATTTATGCCACAGCACCCCATCAGTGTCAATCCAGAGGCTGTGTATTATTTCCTCAGACTCTATATCAGACTTGCATCTAAATGAGAAACAATAGAGGCCAACAGGAAGCAGAATCAAGTGCTAAATGGCTAAACAGGAAAGGCTCTCTCTCGTGCTCATAAATAAGTAACCTTAAGTCCGCAAACAGCCGGGCTTTAGTTCAAACAGAGAGGCTTTGACGGAGGGTGACACAGTCGGCGCAAGAGTTTGCTCTGTAACCGAGTTAAACATGAACGAACGATATGTGTACCAGGCTGGACACAGGCAAGCTAATTTTAGCTCCATTGCTTGTGTAGAGCAGAGTAAGACAACAACGCAGGAAAGAAAAATACAGTATGTAATGCAGAGCAGCAGATCTGATATGTTTCTTCTTTTGAGTGTTATTTAATAAGGAAAAACTGAAGGAAACAGTACTGACTCATCTGAAAGAAAAAGTGTACATGTGAAAGATTTAGAACAAGTCTGCTACTGCATGTTTCAACTTGCGGCTAAAGCAGTCCAGTAATCTAAGTGAGTCATACACTTCCTCATTAAATGCATCCTATCATTATTTCACTTCTAATGGAACACATAAATAAATGGGAAACTAATTGTCTTAACCAATGGATACAGAATCATTTTATATTCGTCTTGCTAAAAAGTCCAAAAATGATACCAAAATGAACCTTTCTGATAATTAACAACGTGAATCAGCACAAGATCCAAAGAGGTCAAGGTCACTAAAGGATCTGGATCGGCCAGAGGACCTCATAAGAAACTCAAAGGTCATTTGAGTGTTTACAATGTAAGGTGTGTGGGGAGATTCAATGTTATCCTAAGCAAACATGGGCATGAGTAGCCTTGTGTAGCCGAGGTTACATTGTGCTGACAGGGGCTGTGGCTCAAGGAGGTTCCTGCAGGTTTTTTTTTTTTGCTTTGGATACGGTTGTTCTCCCTGGGCCTTGGTGAGCTCTGGCACAGCACAGCTCCTGTCAAACTACATGAGTTATTGAATCGCTGATAAGAGTTTCCCTGCTTTGCTTCACAACAACAAGAGCTGTGAACAATCGTCACTCTGCTCTTTTGCATTTCGAAATTTACAGCCCTTCTGTGCATGTGTGTGCTGCTGCTGCTTACATTTGCACTGGCACAACTCTCTACAGTTATGGGAGCTTTTCAGCAAAAGAAAGTAGGTTGGCTGCATGCACTCCTGCAGATAGCGAGGCGGGGAACATTGTTACGTACAAACCAGGTTACGTACAAACCAGGTTGTAAGTCAAGGTACTAACTGTTATGATCCTCCGCAGCACTAGGCATTAAAGAAAAGGTTGTAATATGCCAACTGTGGTTAAGTTACTGTTTGCAAGAGAAAAATTACGGAAGAAAGAGTTGAGAAAGAGAGTGAGAAACAGGGTGAGGAAAAGGGAGAGGAGGTGGGTGGGGCACACTCATTCCTCAGGGCCAGTTGAACTTTCCACGCTCGTTCTGCAGGCTCAGAGGCCAGAGTGCACCCGGAACCACCGAGGCATTCAGTTCAGGAGGAACTACAGACAAACTGCTCATGGCTTAAAGCACTTATGTGTGGAGACACATTAAAAAGAAGTTTCCATCACACCTACACACAGCCGTATATATGAAGTCAAACTGACAACTGACGGACTGACTGTGTGAGCTGTGACATAAAAACTTCACATTACAATTTAAAAGCACCAAAACTCATGGAGCAGTGTCTTGAAAACCCTCATCACAAGTTGAATATGTGACAGAGCAGTCCCACAAAACTTCACAGATCATTTCACTTGATTAATTATTAGCGAGTATAAAAGAGAAAGATCAGTGAAAAGTCTGACAAATGTCTTATACATCTTGATGTTATTCCTTCTTTCCTACCCCATTACTTATCTTGTGACTCACTGGAGGTGTGCCGACCCCCAGGTTGCTTTAAATGGTAAAATGGTTAAAAGTCACTGAAAAATAAATAATAAAGTTCCTACCATATTATGGCAGGAACTTGAAGGGATTTTGAACTCAAGATCTTTCCTCTCCCCAAATCAAAATGTGTCTCAGATCCCATCAAAACGAAACCTCACCGTGGCCCCCTCTGGACCCTAGTTTAAAGACCACTACCATTTCTCTGCCTGGTTTAACGCGCTGCTTTGCATTCCTGCTACATTTGCGTAAACGTGAAGAATTTCCTGAGAAGCTGCATTTAGCGCGCTGAAAGGCCTTGACCACAAGTTGCACACTTTAAGTTCAGACTTGAGCAGTTGCCAGTGAACGTGTGTAGATGAGGAGGGTGTGTAGATGCGTTTGTGTGGGGGGGGTA